TAAAACCTCCTCCAAGTCCTTTCTTCCTTTTGCTGCTTATCTTCCCATTTTATTCATTTCTTCTCTACTATTATCGTTTGGCCCTTTTCAACCTGAATCGAAATTTTATTCATTTCTTTTCTGCTATTATCGTTTGGCCCTTTTCAACCTGAATCGAACAATCCATTTTCAGTTTTTCTTCCCTATCATTACTTCAAAAGCCTAGAATCAAATCTATGAAATACAAAATTCTCCTTACCAGATAGAGGAGAGGAGGAAGCTGTGAATACATCATTTATTATTATTTTGTGACATCTCTTAAGAAGTTATGTTATTAATATGATCCGTATTGATGCCTAATTTTAATATTAGATTTCTTGTATTTCTGTATTCCTGTCCTTTTTTTCTTTATATTCATTTACTGTGGTTAAATTTGTTTCAAATAATAACTGCACAGTTGTTTATATATTTTATCCCTTCTATATTGGTGCTGCCTATGTAATCATTTTTTAATTATCTCTTTCTAGGAGACACATTTCCTAGGTAGACTAACTTCCTATTTCTAGATTGGAAAATATTAAAAGGATCACTTAGCGAAGAATTGGTTTATATGCCATATTATTAGGTCATGGGTTCTGTTCTGTCCAGAAATTTATATATAACAATATATTTTAGAATCTCTCTTCTAGACCATGACTGATATCTAATATTCTTGGTCAAGTAGTGTTGTAGCTTTCCTGTGGAGCCTGGACTTTTGCATTTACGTGGGCTGAAAGGGGAAGGCGCATATATGTGGAGAAGTAGAGAAATATTGGTTAAGAAGCAAGGACAAGTCTCTTGATCTTGCCCTGTGGCATTTTCCATATTTACTTGTCTGCACTTGTAAAATGTAAAAAGGATAGATCCGGATTTCTTTCTGTGCTTTTGGAAGTTTTGTCAGATGAGGCTGAGGTGGAGGCTAGAGTGAGGCATCTGGATTCAGCATCATTATGATTTTCTTTGAGAGTCCTCTGGGAGAACAAGAGGCTTTTCCTCGGGCAGGGAATGACAAGGCTCTGGGCTTTCCTAAAGCTGACTAAATTTTGTGCGCACAAACTTATTCTCCGCGTTACTTTGCTGCCACCAGAAGATCAGGCTTTGCCCTTTGAAGAAGCAGTAAGGAGTGTTGCTGATGAGAGCCAAGTACAAAAGCAGGGTGGGAGTAAATGCCCAGAAGCAGCCAGCCTTATTCGGTCATTGAAAAGATGAAATGAGAGGTTTGTAAAGGGAGTCAGAGTGTCCCGCAAATGTAGTATTATTATTATTACTAGTAATAATAACTTGATAGAAGGGTAGATGCTCTGTACCTTAGCACAAAGTACATTGGAAATGATTTCCAATCCACCCGACTTTCTCCAGTGTAGTGATATTTCCTGGTCTGGGATTTATATATGCTCCTCAATAATTTTTTATTGTATTCCTTCGTTTTTCTGATATAAATTCTTTTTTTTTTTTTAAAGATTGGCACCTGAGCTAACAACTGTTGCCAATCTTCTTTTTTTCTTTTTTTCTTCTTCTTCTTCTCCCCAAAGCCCCCCAGTACATAGGTGTATATTCTAGTTGTAGGTCCCTCTGGTTGTGCTATGTGCGACGCCACCTCAGCATGGCCTGATGAGCGGTGCCATGTCCTCACCCACGATCTGAACCGGCAAAACCCTAGGCTGACGAAGTGGAGCGTGCAGACTTAACCACTCGGCCACGGGGCTAGCCCCTCTAATATAAATTCTTTAATTTAAAAAGACACATTTCTCGGTTGATTATACACTCTCCCCTAAAATCTTGCTCACATTAGTTAACAGAAATCATTTAGAATGTTTGTTTTATGTACTAACATGGTCAAAGGACAGGAAAGGAAATCAACACAAGAAGTTATAAGATTAGCAAACAAAAAACATGAGAAAACATTCATTTCCATGAATGATTTAAAAAATAAATAAGAATTCCAATAATGATTCTATTGGAGCAGTAATTCCTAAATAAATATTTTGAATGAAGTAGTAGTTAATGTTTAATAAGTAAAGATATTAAATGAATGGTAATACCCACCAAGAGTGAGAATGTGGTAAAATACATTAGTAACGATAGTGTGTCTGTGTTTGATTTCTTTTTGCTGAATGAAAATAGCTTTTTTTTCTGATTATAAAAGTAAAGAGTCACATAGAAAATTCAAATGTCAGGACTTTGTAAAAGGAAAAATAAAAGTGAGTCCAGATCTCTCCCTCCAGAGGAAACCCCTGATGGCATTTGGGTGTGTGTCTTTTTAAACAGCTTCCCACAAAGATAAACATCAGATTACTGAGATAATGTTATATGTGCTGTTCTGCAACCTGAACGTGGAGGTACCATGTTTGATTTAGCCAGCCATGAAGGGAAGGACGCAGCTTCCTTGCGTTTTCTAGCTATAGTAAACCACTCTAAGATGTAGGTCCTTGAGTCTCCGTTCATCCACACTTGACAAAGCACTTCCTGGAAGAAATTATTATAAGTAGAACATCTAGCAAAGAATACATAGATTTTAAATTTTGAACCATACGGGCAGAATACATTCCAGAAATACAGAAATTCCCATTCTAGTAACTGCCATCCACTGTCATCTCACACCCTTTCCAATATTTGATATTGTCAATATGTAGTTTTAAAATTTTGACAATGAGAGATAAAAAGATCTCATTCTTACACATTTTTTGATTATTACTGAGATTCATTATTTTTTCACATTTTTTTGCTATTGGCATTTTGCTAGTTATGAGTTACCTACTGATTGATTACTCTCACTAACTTCTCAATTGGGATGCTTGCTTCCTCTTAGTTTTTAGAGCTTACTGTATATTGGGGATATTAAGTCTTTGTCACATATGTTGAAAATATTTTCCCAGCTGATCATTGCTTTTCAATTTTGTTTAAAGTATCTAAACATTTTTTTTTGCCATAGGTAGATTTTAAAAATGTCAGTAACCAATAGTTTCTGGATTTTATGTTATGCTTAAAAAGACCTTCTCCTCTCATATTTGTACAGAGGATATGTGGGCGGTCATTTTGCAATATATAAAAGTGGGGGAAAACCAGAAACTCGAGGTATACCCTAAAGAAATCACGACAAAACAAAAAATTCTGAGCTTATCTGGTGAAGAAGAATTGAACTAGATAAATTTTGAAGCTTTTTATCTATTCTGGGATGGTATGCAATCAATACACAGAAGAAAGCTTTCACAGATTAAAAAAATATGTATTAAGTACCAGGTACTCTCCTAGGTTTTGATTCAGAGAAAAAAAGACAATGATTCTGAAAATAAAGTAAAATTGCCCCTGTCCGCCAAGAGCTCACAGATGACAATAGTCTCATCTGTACAGTCGACCTTCTGTATCCCTGGATGCGGAACTCGCAGATACCGAGGACTGACTGAGGGACTTGAGCATCCGCGAATTTCGGCATCCGAGGGGTGTCCTGAAACTAGTATTTCGTGGGCACTCAGAGATGGACTGTGCAAAGGACTGTAGAACCCTAGGATCTTCCTTCCATCTTATTCTACTCTGAAACCACAAGAGAAACAATTGGCAAATGCTAAAAAATCCTGATTTCTTGAAAAAAAATATTCTTGTGCTTTCAAGAAAACATTGTTTAAAAGAGCGCCATTCTCCCCTTCTGCGTCTACATTCACGGCTACCCCCCTGCGAGAAGACACTGATGCCTTCGAGACACTGGCTGGGCTGTACTTACTAAACCTGTGATCATGTTTCATGCCAGAAAAATGTTTTCAAAACATCTGCACTATTTAACCAGTCAAGATGTTTTGTGAAAAATATTTGTGAAGGCTTCCATCAGGAGGTACGCATTCATTTGAAGTAATGGATGAAAATATTTGAAAATATTTGGTCATCTTAACTCTGCGTGCGCATGTGTTTCGAATGTGTGTGCATGAATGTTCATATGCTCATATGAACAGTAGAATTCCATATGCAATTATGTTTTTAGGCTAATATACTTAGTGTATTTGATTTTGTAAGGGAGAATAGCGGACATTAAGGATAGGAACTAAGATCTACTTTATAATGAGAGAAATAATAATAGTCCCTTATTATTTTAATAGGATTTTAGAAATTTTACCTTTATTATTCAGCCTTCACAAAAAGCCTGTGAAATAAGCATCAATAATTTCATCTTACATAATGAAAAAAATTGTGACGTAGTGTGATTAGTTGATTGAAGCTTCTTAGGTTAGTAAATATCAAAGATGAAGACAAAACCCCAAGTTGATTGCTTTTTCCACCAGAATACAGCTGCCCCAATGCTAAAGGCCTGTGTAACCTGTAAAAGGAGGATTAGCAAGTTAGTTCCTAGTTATCCATGGTGAATCTAATGAGATGCTAGCGGCTTACACAGGCCCTGCTTGCAGAAACTATGCTCTCTCTGTCATGCTTGCCTCCGCACAATGTGGTAGGAATAACATGTGCTTTGGAGTCAAGTTCAATCCTGGGTTTGAATTCCAGTTCAGCCACTTATTACCTGTGCATATTTGTACCCAGACGCCCTGCCTTGTCTTCACCTAGGAACATCGGTAGTGATAATACACACCATAGAGAGTTTTGTGATATCTCTGGCACATAGTGTGCTCAAGAATCACCCAGATGGACATTACTTGGACTCGCCTGGGATGGTGTCAAAAAATACAAAATGATTTGGGGAACACTAGGGTTATAGGGAATGGGGCCCTGGCCATAATGACAAGAGCCAATAAGAGTCAGTTTGAGCCCTGTGTTAACTCACCTGCAAAGAATTGGTATTTGGCCATAGTTAGATTCATCTCTTTTATCTCTGATCCTCATATCCCCTTATGTCCCAGGAGGTATTACATTAAGAAGAAAGAAATGAGGAGCCTTGAGAACATGAGAGAAGTGTAGGAATGGCATTGATGAGCCTTTTTTTTACAACACTTGAGATGGATTTTCCTAATCCTTTTTTTTTCTTTTTTCACCCTCTATAGCTGATGGCGTCTGTGTCTTTAAATGCTTACTCAACAGAGACACCGAATGTTGCCGTGTGGGGAAGGAGTCCATTTTGATTACTCTGGGCTACAACAGTGCTTTGCTGAAGTTTGAGTCTCAAGCTGGTAAGTTTTGTGCCTGTGCTGACCCCCTTGTCTTTTCGAAAGACGAATCTTCTGATTGGTTGACTTTTGGCTGTGACTGATTAGGGGAGTTTTGGCAGCATGTTTCCTGATGTGAGTTGTCATCAATTGATACAATGATTTAAAACTGGTTCTGGTGCTTACTTGATACCATGGCTGGAGAATAACCAGCCTTTTCCTAGACTATGAGAACATTTTTATTCTTAGCCCCCCTTTTGGTCTTCCTTCATCCAAAGCTGCAGGTGAGGCTACCAAGGATTGTCCAGCTCTTCATCACTGCTGTTGATTCTCTTTGAATATGAGGTTGTTTGCAGAAATGTGATTTTCGGTTTGAGTGTCAATCAGAATGATTTCATCCTGTTTTTGTCTTTATTTTATTTATTGTTTTTTTTGCTGAGGAAGATTCTCCCTGAGCTAACATTCATGCCAATCTTCCTGTATTTTTTAGAATGTGGGCTGCCAGCACAGCATGGCTGCCAACGAATGGTGTAGGTCCACACCTGGGAACTGAACCTGGGCCGCTGATGCAGAGTGCATTGAACTTAACCATGAGGCCACTGGGGCTGGCCCCTGTTTTTGCCTTTAAATCATTTGTTGAACATTTTTAGACTTTGGACAGCAAATGCCAGGCAAAAGGGAGGTAAAGTCAAGTAGAACTAGGACTCTTTTAAGAAAGCACTAAAGGGCACTGTGGAAGATTTCTAGCTTGATAAAGAAAATTACGGAGAACAATGCCTTGAGTCTACCTTAGGTGGTCAATTGTCATTTCTTTAACTCAGACATAAATTGTTCCATCTTACTTATGGTGTTAATCCAGACAATGTAAAGTGTTGGCAATGGTATGTATTTTCCTCTTGTTGGCTAAAATGGTTAACCTGGTTTCTTGTATCTAAACTGACTCTGGAGTAAGCCAGAACTAGGAACTTGTTTTATCACACATCTATCCATCATTTTATTCATCCATCAGTTCATCTTATTTTTATGATGCATTTCAGAGTAAATTATAATAACCAGCACATTTCACTGCCGTATACTTCAACCTGCATTTCATTAACTAGAATTCAAAATTTATGTTTCTCATTTTTTTTCTATTGAGGTTAAATTTGCATACATTGAAGTGCACAAATCTTAATACCATCATTCCTAAAAGTTACCTCATACCTTTTCCCAATCGCTTCTTACTCCTGTCCTTCCAGAGATAATCATTGTTCTGGTTTTTATCCCACCATAGGTTAGCTTTGTCTTTTCTAGAACTTCCTATAAATATAATCATTTAGTATACACTCTCTTTGATAAGGTCACTCAGCATGTTATGAGATTCATCCACATTGTTGCAAGTATTTCTTTGTTCATTTATTTGTGACTAAGTAATAGTCACAATTTGTTTATCCATTCTCATTGTGATGGACACTGAGACTGTCTCCAGGTTTTGGCTATGATGAATGAGGCTGCTGTAAATATTCTCATACCAATCTTTTTGTATATATATATTTCATTTCTCTTGGATCAATAGGAGTAAAGTTTCTGGGTCTTAGAGTAAATGTATGCTTAGTTTTATAATAAATAGCCAAAATTTTTTCTAAAGTGGTTGTACCATTTTACACTCCCACCAATAACGGATGAGAGTTCTGGTTGCTCCACACCTGTGCTAACGTTTGATCTTTCAGTCTTTTTCATTTTTTCCCTTCTGATGGATGTGTAGCTGTATCTTGTTGTAGTTTAATTTACATTTTCCTGATACTTAGTTATCTTAAGCACTTTTTCATGTGCTTATGAATTCAAATTGTTTGCCTCCTACTAATTGGTTGTTTATCTATGGAGTTGTTGTTTTTTATATATCCAGGCTACCAGGCATTTAACAGATATGTAATTTATGGATGTTATTTCCTAGTTTGTAGCTTGCCTATTCATTTGCATAATGATGTCTTATGTTGAGCAGAAGTTCTAAAATTTGATGAAGTCCAGTTTTTCATATTTTCTTTTTTGTGTATTGCATTCTGTGTCCTAAGAACACTTTGCCTACCCTCAAATACTGAATGATTTCTCCTATATTTTCTTCTAGAAGTTTTATAGCTTCAGCTTTTATATTTTAGGTATGCAATCTATCTTAATTATTTTTATAGGGTGTGAAGCATGGGGCCAAAGATTATTCTTACACCATATGGATCTCCATTTATTCTAGCACTGTTTGTCAAAAAGACTTTTGCAAGTCAAATGACTGTACACACACTTGGTCTATTTTGGAGCTCTCTGTTCTGTTCCATTGATTATCCATATGCCAGTGTCACATTGTCTGGATTACCTCTAAAGTAACACTTGAAGTCAGAGTTTAAGTCCTTCAACTTTGTTCTTCTTTGTCAAGATTGTTCTGGATATTCTTGCTTCTTTGCATTTCCGTATACATTTTATAATTAAGTTGTCAATTTCTGCAAAAGTGCTTGGTCCAATCTGATTGAGATTGGTCAATTGGGTGAGAATTGTCATTTTAACACTATTAAGTCTTTCAATCATTGGTGAGCTGAAGACAGCTCATACTAAATCACAAGACAAGATTATTAAATTTTCAGGCATTTGATGGCTTGAAATTGGCTAGGGTGGGAGAATTTACACCACAGAAATTGGCAACCTCCGCAAACAGGGGCCCTTTTTGTTTTGTGGGTGGAGTCAGTTGTTAAATGTTTACCAGAATGCCATTGCTTGCTTCCAGTCCAAGAATATGGTATTTCTCTCCATTTATTTAGGTCTTTAATTTTTCCCCAGAAGGGGAATGTTTTGTAGTTTTCAGTGTAGAGGTCATACACAACTTTTGACAAGTTTATCCCTAAATATTTTATGTTTTAGAATCTATTACAAATAAAATTTTGGAAACTCACAACTGTTTGCTGCTGGTATATAGTAAATTAATTTTTAATGTTAATCTTGGCTACTACAACCTTTTATATTCCCTTACTAATTCTAGTAGTTATATTTTAGATTCCTTAGAATCTTCTACATTTAAAAAAACTTCGTTATCTGCAAATAGAGACAGCTTTAATTCTTTTCTGATCTTTATGCCTTTTATAATTTTTATCAACTTTTTGAAATTCTTCTTACCTCCAGTACAATGTTGAATAGACCTGGGAGAGCACTTGTCTTTGACATTCTCCCGATTGTAGGGGAAAAATCTAGTATGTTACCATTAAGTATAATGTTTGCCATATGTTTTCTGTTGCTGCCCTTTATCAGCTTGGGGAAGTTCCCTTCTATCTTTAGCTTGCTGGAAATTTTTATCATAATTAGGCATTAGATTTTGTCAAATATTTTTCTGGATCTATTGAGATTATCATATTCTGCAAATTTGGTGAATTACTTGGAATGAAATAGTTTGTATATAATTGGTATTATTTCTCCATAAAATTTTTGATAGACTTCACCTGTGAAGTCACTGGGGCTTGAGGTTTTATTAATGGGAATAAAAGTTATTTAATAAATATTGGACTCCAGATTTTCGTCTTGTGTTAATTTGATATTTTATAGTTTTTCATGGAATTGTTCCATTTCATCTAAGATGTCAGATTTACTGGCAAATTTGCTTATAATTTGCATGTTATCCTTTTAATTTTGTAATATCTATAGCAATTTCTCCTATTCCTTTCTAGATACTGGTTATTAATATCTTACCTTCTTTTTGATCAGCCTAGCTTAGAGGTTTATCAGTTTTATCAGTCTTTTCAATAAATTAGCTTTTGGTTGTATTATTTTCTCTGTTGTTTGCCTATTTTCTATTTCATTGATTTCTGCTCTTATCTTTATAATTTTCTTTCTTCTGCCTTCTTTGAGTTTACTTTGCCCTTTTGTTCTAGCTTCTGATAGTGGAACTTTAACTCATTAATTTTACCCTTTTATTCTTTTCTACTATGATTTCTTAAAGTCACTAATCTTCCACTATGACTTTACTTATATAACCAAGCTTTGATATGTTGCATCTTCATTATTATTCAGTTCAAAGTGCATTCTAATTTCTCTCCTATTACTTCTTTGATGCCTGAGATATTTTAATTTCCACGTATTTGGGAATTTTGCAGATATCTTTCTGTTATTGGAGCTGGACATTGTAAATGTTGTGCGGTTGAGTGTCTGGATTTTGTTGCCTTCCTTTAAGGAGTATTGAGGTCTGTTCAGACAGGCAGATTAGCTAATGGTAGGTCAACTGGATTCTTCTGAGACTTGTTTTTAGCTTTGCCTTGGCTGGCATAGAGAGGTCTTTACTCTAGGTCTAGTTTAGATGTGCTCCTAAGGTGTGACCATTCTGTGGTTTCTACTATATGCCTCAACTATTCAACACGGTCTCTTCACTCTGGCTGTTTCTGAACTATAAACTCTCCCCACCCTGTGTTATCTCTGGGAATTGTTCAGCTTAGAGCTCCCTAGTAGTTATTCTTTTCCTGTAGTTGTTTTTGTCCATCGTGTGGAAATCTGCCCTACACGTGTGCTGCTTAGGATTTATTCAGCTGGAAGCTCAAGGGGAGCCCTTGGCAGACTTTTTTAAAGCTATTTCTTCATACAGGAAGACTTTTTTCTCTAGTAATCTACTTTAGAAATTCTAGCAGCTTCAGCTTTCCTGAATGCCAATCTCTAATACCTTCAACTCAGCAAGACCACTTTGTTCTGTTTTACTTCCCACGCCACGTGATGACGTGTGGCTGGTGGCTTCTAGTTAGAAAGCCAGGGTCATCACAGTACTGTCCTCATTTGTTTACCTTCTTTCAGGGTTCACAGTTTTGCATTGCCTGGTCTCCAGTGTCTGACAACTACTGTTTCAGGTATTTTTCCAGTTTTGTTGTTTTAGTGGAAGGAAAGGATGGTACCAGTTAATCTGTTATGATTATGAGCAACAGTCCTCCCTATTTCTTTCAGGAGAAAGAAATTCACAGACTCAGAACGCTTCAGATGTCTTGGGTGGTAGCAATGGGTGAGCATGAAAAGCCAGAAGCAATCAACAT